CCCCCCAAAATATAAATGAAAAAATAAATAAATAAAGTGAGTGGCTTCATCATGAGTCTAATTGCCACCATTTGGTTGACACTACCATTACTGAAGCATTGTGTTATTGAGGTGCACTGCAGACTTCCACATTCTTACAAATTAGGCCCAATGGAGGCGATGGGAGCCAAGCAAGAGGGCTCACCATCACCCTAAGGCTGAGAGGTAGAGCACTGAACTTCTTTTGCTAGCCTTGAATACTGTCACCTGCCTGCGGAGGGTGTGAGTCAAGCAAGCCAACCTTTTTCTCTACATATAAGTATTTAAAGTCCCCAAAAATGTCAGCCAACACAATGCCAATGCAGTCACTTTGCTGATGGGTAAGACACTAACACCACAGTGTGTATGTGGTCTGTGAGCGCTACAGAAATCCAAAAGTCAGACAGCAAAGTTCAAGACCACTCTAGCCCATACTTAACACTAGACAGATGGCGTTCCAAATGCAAGAGCAGAGGATTAGGTCTGGAGGTTGATTGAAGGTTTGTGCCACTTTTTGGCACTGTTCTCCTCCGGGTGACACCGTGGTGGAGGAAATAACACGAGCTCCTTGGCCAAGCGGGCATTCACATCTTTGGTTTCACATCACCTGCAATTTGAATTCCATTACTTGCCATGCCACACTTCAAATAAAGCTCGGTCCTATTAATTACCAAAGTATGGGTTCAGGGTAAAGGTGAACGTGCAATTACAGAATTAAATCAAGGCCCTGTTTAGCTTGTCAGTCCTGACAGAAATAATTTGGGTGAATTATTAAATGCTTCCACCGCTCTCAGCTGCTTCATTGCCACCTCAGAAATATCAAGCAGCGAGAATCCACCCTCTGCTCTTTCTTCTCTAAAATAAAACTGTTAATTGTGCTTATTTTAAAGCACGATTAATAGATTAAGAACTGTTACTGTTGTATGTAAACGTCTTTGTGCCGTCGATGTTTTCTGAACCTTTTAATGAACGAGGTCAAGTTTAATGAGATCATTCTTAATCAGTGGTGGTACAGTGATCTTGCAGACATTGTATTTAATTATCATTCTTTTAGGTCCAGTGAATTAGAAGTTTTAATTAGCTACTGTTCAGATAATATTAAGTTCCGAGGTTATGCTATAATTAGCATATTGGGCTTGCAAAAACAGTCAAACTTACACAACAACGAATTTTATTTCAATCCAAATTTCTTCTGCTGTGTGTGTGAATAGAAATGTACCAGCTGTGGCGTCAGTTTGACCCGCACTCCTTTTTTAAATGTGTGTTTCTCTTTCCTTAAATGTAAAAAAATCCAAATGTCTTGTTTTGTAGAGTTCTGCTGCAAGCAAGCATTTTAACTAATTTTCTATAATGAAGCAATTTGCCAGTGGCTGACTAGATTCAGTGGCTGAGTTTTGGTCTGTATGACAACCAGCTGTCTGTAATTAGCAAATCAAGCCAGGGTGAGGCTTTAGGCAGTCCGAGTGGCTACAAAAGAAGTCAAGTGGCAAGTGTTCCAGTAATTGTGCTGTCATGAAGTTTATGCTGAAATAACTGCAGGAATGAGTTTTCTTCTCGTGGGTTTTCTCAGGTATTTAAAGCTTAAGGTTTTCTGTGGTTAAAAAAAACAATTACAGCTTCTCAGTGCTGTGCTATTTGGCTTACTGATTTTTTTTTTTGTGTGTGTGCGTGTGTGTTCTTTTTTTGTTTTGTTATTTTTCTAGCACTGTTGTGCTCCACTCTGTGTCAGCTGGTGGTGCATATTGTGCTAAAACAGCAAGAGGTATGTAGTGCACTTCAATGGATGCTGCTACTTTAAAAAATATATATAATTACCAATTAGTGGGTATATTTGACACTTCACAACAATGAACCGGCAAACAGGTTTGTTTTGTCTTTGTTTGTCTGTGCTGTAGCCCGTGCAGCTGCCTTGGGTTTGGATTATCCTGGAGTACATGGTGCGCCTGAATTCTCTGGACCAGCTTACCATGGAATCCCCCCTCACCCTTACAATCATGAATGGTTTGAGACTGTACCAAACATGGCCACCCCTAAACAAAATTGGCCAACTTTTCATAACGTGAGGCATAGACAAGGTAACCTAGGAACATCTGACAGATTTCTAATGACCCACGGCACTTACGGACCAGTTCAAAATGAATACACAACAAAGCCAGAGCACGGCTTTCCCAGAGGACAGTCGGTCGGTAACCGCGGTTCCAGTTTTAAAGGGGTCATGCGTGTTGCACTACCAACACGAGCTGATGCCCCTAGCCAGTTTGACCTTGTGAATAGGGATCCTCAAGGTCACTTGGTTGTCTATGGTGAACATGACCTTGTTGTTGATGAGTCCGTCCCAAATAGACAGGGCATTTTTCACCATGCACTCCCCCTGCCCCAAAACTGGGGTCATGGTGCTTACCAGAGAGCTCGAACTGTACATGGCCTCAGAAGAAAAGGGCCTGTCCTTGGTTCAAATCACTTTAAGAAAGTCCATGGAGCAGCAAAGACTAGTTGGGGTCCTCCTATGTTTGGTAGTTGGAGATACAGATTTCCTGGCCTCAATGCTAAACAGTTTGTTCAAGGTACCCCAACCCCCTTGGTGGTCTGAGAGACCTGAAATCAGATCCCGTTAGACTTATTCAAATGAAAGGGTCTGACATTAAAGGCCCTGGCATATAGCTCTGCTGTCTTGTCAGATGGTGTTCCTTTGACTTTTTTTTTTCTTTTTTTGAAGTTAACAGGCAGGCTTTTTGTGCAGGGTGGGGGTGAGAAGTGAGTCTACAATCTTAGTTTCACTGGAGACAAAGGGGAGGGATGTCCCTCCTACACTTATCTGTGTACAAGCGCCTATATTGTGTGTGTTGTTGTTTTTGTTTTGTTTTTCTTCACGTGTAACTCCAAAATGAGTGATATTACACACCCTCTACTGAATATAAAATTTGTAAAATGGTTATGGTTCTCTGGGGGGTTTTTTTGTTGTTGTTTTTTTGTTTTTATTTTTTAAAACACTCTCCCACAGCATTATAAATGACTCACTGGGGCCTGGATGCTACCACAGTGCCATCTGTTGGTTCCAATGGGTAGAGAGCCTTTGGCTCACATTGTTGTACACAGGTGCTGCTTAATGGAGGGTCAGCCTTTGACAAATCCCATAATCTGTTTACAATCTGTTGTTTGCAAGTACTAGTAGAGGCTATGCTAATTTTTTTTTCAAATAGCCTTGGCATTTCAGTGATGGCATGCTGCACTACTGGTCTGGAGTTTCCAATTAGATAATTCAGACCGTGCAAATTGGTATCACTCATTTTATAAAACAAAACTTTTTTTTTTCTTCTCACCAATGCAGAACATTGTCAGGAATTGCTGAAAGTTTGTGTGAAATGGTACACTGACCCATAAATCACTCAAGAGCCTAAGAGTGGGTTATGCGCACTAATCTTGAATGTGAAGAGGGAAACTGATGACGGAACAAAAATAAACCAATTAGCTGTTTGTGATAAGCAGGAAGGAAATCAATCACGGGAGGGTGGGGAAAAGAATTCAGTAGCTGCAGTGAGTTTGAACCCCACCTGGCAACCTCGCATGTGTTTATGTTGGGCTAAATTCAGCGAACAAGTGAAGACCCTTTCAAAATATATTTTGCAAGACAGGGAAAGGAAGGACAAACTTGTCTTTAGTCACTGATGGCTACATTAAAAGTGCCACAATATCCTGTGATCATTTGCCTTCTTAACCTTGATCAATAGCTTAATGACCCTTTTTACAGCTTCGAGGAGGGAAAGGAGGAGGCAGGGGGATTTACTATGTTTAAGCATGTGGCGAGCAGTAAGGACCCATCACCAGGAGCTCACTGCTGCTAACAAAGAAATCTAGCTTTCCAAATCTTATGACATCAGAGCTTCTTTCATGCAACACAGTTTCACTTGACTTTTGTAACGATTAACACAAGCTCTTGTTTTAATTAAACATGCCAAATTAAGGCACTTTTAGTTGCTTTAGTTGGTGACATTCTATTACTTTTCATTCTTAAATATTCCAGTAAATCATTGTCACAATTGTCAGTTGTTATTTTTGTTTTGTTTTTAAACTTAATTTTGCTGCTGTGTTGTGAAGAGTTGAGGCTTCAGGCAGACTTAAGTCAGCACCTCATTGATAGTCTCAAACGCAGCTAAATAGGCTCTTACTGCAGGGCCATTAAATCAAAATATATTTCACGCATTTTGTTTTGTGTACACGGTGTAATTATTCGCACTATTAATTTCACACACTCGTACATTCCACTTCTTACTGACTTGACCACTATTGTGTACCAAGATTTGTCTGCGACCTAGGCTAGACCAGGCTTGCTGGGCTCTTTATCATGTCTGTTAGAGAAAGCATTTCTGCTTGCCTGAAAAATGTGTAAACACTGAGGCACTGCATTTTCCCTTAGCATCCTAAACAGTGCCTACAAAATGGAAATAAATAACTCAAGAACTTTTCAACAGGATAACGGTATACAGTGTATGAAATCACCTGTCTGTAATTAATAGCTCGTGCATAAATTGAGGATAATACTGCAACTTTGCAACAAACCTTCACTATATAAACCAGGGGTGGGCAACTCTAAGCCCCGAGTGCCGGTGTCCTGCAGGTTGTAGATGTGTCCTTGATCCAACACAGTTTTTTCAAATGGCTAAATGGCCTTCTCAACATGTTTTGAAGTTCTCCAAAGGCATCGGTAATGAACTAATCGTTTGATTCAGGTGTGTTCAGGGTGATATCTGAAACCTGCAGGACACCAGCACTCGAGGCCTGGATTTGCCCACCCCTAATATAAACCATCCCACAGCTACCAATCCACCAAATGCAATTTTTTTTTTTTTTTTTTTTTTTTTTTTTTTAAATAAACTAAATTATATCACTTTGTGGTGAAGATCGCTCATTTCAGGACCCAAGATCTGAAGTGATAGTTTAAAATATTTCGGTGGGCATTTTTGCCATGTGGGGAGGACGCACAGCAAAGGGCACTGGGTTGGAGCAAAACCAACCTCTCTGTATTGAACCTTTGTTTTATGCTTCTATTATATCAAGCAGTGAGATAAATATATATTTGATTTTTTTAAACATTATTACTCAACATTATTATTATTATTATTATTATTATATATTTACTGATATTGTAACCGCTAGGTTTTAACAGTCCTTTTTTGTTTTTTTCATAATCACCTCTTGAAGCCTCCAATTTATGCTCAGCCTGCAGTGAATATGAGCTAAATGAACAGTCTTTAAAGAAAGTTGTAAAAACCAGCTGAGCCTAGGAAATTAATCTGAGGAATCACCAGACAACTAAAATAAAGAAACCTTTGTGTTACATTCAGTGTAGGTCAGTCTTTTTGAATTTGCTGTCTTTCAATTAAAAGAGAGAATTTATTTTCTTTAGCCACTGAAAACTGTTCCACTGAAAAAGTCTATTTCATTTCAATTAATATTTATTTATATAGCACCATTTCACAACAGTCACCTCAAGGCACTTTATAATGTATATAGAAAATCCCAGCAATCTCCTAGGAGCAAGGACATGTGACAGTGGAAATGGGAAAACTCCCCTTTAACAGCAAGAAGCCTTAAGTAGAGCCAGGCTCAGGGAGGGAGGGCCATATGCTGTGACCGGTTGGGGGTGAGGGAAGGAGAAGAAAGCAAAGAAAGATGGGACAAGAGGCAGAGTTTAAAAATTACTAATTATATCATGCTGTAGTGTATAGCTGATAGCTGAAGACTCTGTCTCGCATTCTGCTTTTAAAAACTCAAGGAACAAAAAGCAAGCCTGCAGTCTGAGAGCAAAGTCCTTTGTTGGGACAATATGGTGCTGTTTATGTTTTAAAAAATATGATGAGGCCTGACTTTTCAATGTGAGAAAACACATTTTAAATGCAATTCTAGATTTAACAGAGAGCGAATGAAGAAAAGTTAATGTGGGTGGTCTTTCTTTCTAGTCTGTGTCAGTACAGTCAGTATTTGCTACAGTGTTTTGGATTAACAGAAGGCTTTTTAAAGAACCTTTTAGAGCAGGCCCATAATGAATCGCAGTAGAAAATGCATGAGCTAACTTTTCAGCATTACTTGCTGACAGGATCTTTCTAATTTTAGTAATATAGCTCTGATTGGGGGGGGGGGAATAGAAGTAGTCCTACATATTTGTTTAATGTGTGGGTTGGAAGAATGGCTTCAAGATTCCTCACAGTGTTGCTTGAGGCTGAGATAATGCCATCCAGATTATCTAGTATTTGGTCAGACACCATTTACTAATAATTTTAGATTAGAGGAAAATAACTTTAGTTTTGTCTACATTTAGAAATAGGAAGTCAGAGGGCATCCAGAACTTTGTGTTTAAGCCCTGCTTGTCATGTATTTGATTTGTATCAAATGGCTTCATAGATAAATAAAGCTGGGTATCTTATTATAAAAATGAAAATGTATATAGTGTAGGGAAGAAATAATGGTGGGGAAAGGTGTTTGTCCCAGCACGGAACCCTGTGGAACTCCATAAATAACTTTTGAGTGGAAAAACTCTTGGCAGCTAATATTCTCCCACACATTCTTATTTTAAAGAGCCAAAAAGGGGTGGGAGGAGCCTTAAAATCTTAAAATATTTCAAATGTATTTTTTACTGCTTTATTTTGCCTTTTAAGTTCCACTGCAGGTTTATCGCAGTTTTCCAGGTTACCCAGTCCACAGTGTGTTCCACTGCATGTTGTGACACACACCTCTTTTATAGCAATGCTGACTGTCTTCCGTTACAAAGGCTCAGTTAATAAGAGCGTGTATGTGCTGTGTGTTTTGAAATGTGTGTATTTCCTTCTCGTGTTTCTTCCCCTCCTCTTGTTGTCCCACGCAAGTCTCTCACTGAGCTCACTATAGCCTGCCAGCACAACTGACCTGTGGTAAGGGGGAAATCAATAGTCAATTCCATTTTGCAGCCAGCGTGTGACAGGTACTAGATAGGAGTGGATTGGGTGCATGTAAGGAGCAGGAGCGAGAGTTGGAGCTTGTCTGACCCTCTCCTTTCCCTGTCTTTCTCTCCCTTTCCCTCCCTCACACACAGTGGCTCACAGGCTCACTCAACCAACCCGCAAGGTCGACACAGCAGTGTAGTGCCAGAGGCCACGCTCAATAGTGTAACACAACTCGGGGGTGTATACACACATTAAACACTGTCAATGGTGAATGTGGTTGTGCTCATAAGGGAACTTGTATGACAAGCACCATGAATGTGCAGAAACATATTATGAACTTATTATGAAAATTTAGTTACTGACAGTTTTTGTTTTTAATTGTTGTTGTCACACATTTTGTGCAAGTAAAGCCGTTTACACAAATTGCATTAAACTAAGACAGTGATCACACTATTTGTCCCCAAGCATGTTTAATCTCCAAAGTTCGTTTGGTTCATTTGACTGGTGTGGTTGCTGTGTACTATTTCTGGTCAAGGTTTAGTGTTCTGCACCCTGGTGCACTTCACACTTGTGAAGTATGTAGGAAGTCCTGCGCTTCCTCAACGATGGTGCTCTTTGTAAAAACTGCTTTATTAAGTAATTTACACATCTATAAGGCATGTGATAGAGCAGTGTGTCACTGTTTCCAAAACTGCTCCGATTATACCACAAAGTGCAAAATCAGGAACCTGATTGTCCTCCATAATCTAACGTTTCCAAAGCAAGTTAGTCTCAGGATTGTTTCCAACTACTCTCTTTTGGCTATCAATACCATCATTGTGTTTTATCTCCAAAGACCAGGGACAATGAAAGGCAACTATGCCTAGTGTGAGTATGCCTAAAGAATATCTGGGGCCAGATAGCACAATGGGAATGCAGGTTTGCCGGGAAAAGGTCGGTGGCAGTCTTGTTTAGGCATAGACCAAGGCGACTGTGCCACCCTAAGTGCACTCACAGATATAATCAAACTGACAGACTTACAGAGATTTATATTAGGTATAGAATACACAACCACATAAATCCTACCTGCCAAATCTGCTTTTAATTGTGTAGCAAAGCAAGCTGAACTCAAGTCATGCTAGCAAAAAATAATCGTTAAAACTGTAAATTGGACAGGGATAATGAACAATTTAGGAAGCATGTAGGATAAGGTCTTGGCAGGTCTCTCTTTGGTTTATTTAGTTCAACTTAATACATCTATTTTCTTCTACTCATTTGAAATGTAATTATTTATTAAAATATTGCAAATATGGTAAACATGCCTGCGTAATATTAGGATAGCATTGAATAGCACTGAAATATCAGGAAGCATTATCACTGTGAACATGCAAGTACACTGGCATTAGCATTTCACTTAAGTTGAGTCTCAGAGCAACATCATGGCTGTTATATTTTTTTAACACAAAGATATATTTTTTTGAATGCCCATCCTTTTATTATTTGCATTAGTTTTTTCCAGTTCCATTAGTTCTTTCAGCCTCTTCTTCAAAGAATGACGTGTGTTCTGCTTTTCTGGAGGTTTATATTTTAATAATTTGAAGCTCTGGTACAATTATACAAATGGACTGGAGGTAGATCACTTTGAAATATAATTTATAATAGGCTCTTTAAATAAATAATTAAAAAGAACACATATTATGGACTTTTTATTCCCAGTGTTGTGATTCAGTTCAAAAGCATACAAAAATGTGGGACACAAAACAGGCAGGTGCAAGAGCAACCAAAATGAGCTTTAATAACAGAATCAGGTACAAAGAACACAAACACGCATCTGTCTCTTTCTAGCTATATCTCTATATATTGAGAAGAAGAGATGGAAATCACAACACAAACCAATAAGCTGGGAAATAAAAAGCTACGGGGAAAGAAACAACAGCAGGACAAGACACGGACTTAAAAGAAGTGGTTTGTAGAAGTTAAGGTTGACTAATTAAACACATGTGAAACAAAAAGGGTTGGCTGAAAATCAAAAAGAAAGAAAAATTAAAAGTAGGAAGTAAAACCAAAAGCTACCAGACGAATAAATAACATAATGAAACAATAAACAGCCCCCCACAGACTCCAAACCATCATGCAGACTTTTGCTTTAAAACCTACAAATACTAGTGGTATCATTGAAAATGAAAAATTACAGTCAACAAAAATATAAATAGATTTTTTCCTATTATAGACAGATAGATAGAGATATCTTTTGCTAGTCTCTTAAACATTTTTGACCATGTCCTATGCAGTCTATAAAATAAATAAATCAGTATATTGACAAATGCAAAAGTAAATGTAAAGACTGTTACCCAAATATTTCCTATTTTTACTTTTAACACATGAGGAGATGTGTCATGGTGGAGCAGCAAATGATAAAAAATGAAGAGGAACAAATCCAGTGAGTGGATGATGGCCATACATTCCTAACAACAAAAACTGGCACCCGATTCTCATCGGTGAAGAGAATCAGGTGCCAGTAGTGGACCTGCCAGTTTCTTAACTAAAGGATGTTGGACCCTGTTGGTCAGACATGTAAACATAGGTGATCCAGTGGAGATAATTTTGCCACTGTATGTCCTGTGTCGCACAAAGGAGCAGATGTTGTTCCTGGAGCTGGATTGATGGCCTTTTAAAGCTCCTTTCCACTTTCCTTTTGTAACTCCATGTGTCCTAGTACCTCAAATACACACTTAAGACTGCTCTGAGCTGTGTCTGCTCAGAGACACAGCAAACGTTATTCTAATGGCTTGTATTGATGTGGCATCCTAGAGGAACTACCTATGAAACCTAAATGGGCTGCAGGTACCAGATCATGCTACCAGTAGTGACAAGACACAACTGGTAATGGGGTGAGAGGGCTTTTTTGCGCAAGACAACAGTCCAGCCGCTGCAAGGTACAGGCATAGGCAAAGCTGTGAAAGGAAGCTACTGGATGCAGAAAAATGACATCGACTGACAGCACACCAGCAAAGGCAGCTGCAGGGGGGTGGCTGCAAGATGTCCCCAGTCTGCTACCAGACCCCCACTGGAAGATGAACTGGTTTAGTGGGCAATTATGAGCAGTGATGCCAGCTGACAACCCTGCAGTTGACCTGATCGCCGGTGGAGATGCAACAGGCTAAAAAGCCGAAGCAGGAAACACCACCTCACCTGGACAATGAACTTATTTACATAGAACATCTGCAAAACTACACAAGCACACTTGTATGTTGAAGCTACAGAAGATGAAAAAAAATCTAATTATTATTTAATCTAATCATCTAATTATTCTAGAATTCCAACTCCAAGAATGACTGGGTTTTTTTAAGTTTGTTGTTTCAATGTACAGTAAAAAAAAATTCAATATTTGATTTTACTTTTATTTTTGTTTTCTTGCATGTACTTCTCATTTGAAATCCCCTTGCAACACTTTCTGGGGTTCCTGACCTGTGCTTAGACCAAGCCTTTTCAAAACCCTCAGTTTCTTCTTTCAGAGGTTCACTTCCCATTCAACTTTAATTTGGGCCATATTGCCTCACTTTATTGTAAGTCAGTTATTGATCAAATGCAGAATTCATTATTGAGTACGTGAGCGTGAGCTTCCAAGTCAGCAAAGCAGTCCATCATGATGTTGTATGTTCACTGGCAAATGGTAGTTTTGGTTTGCCATCAGTAAATAGGTTGTTAAGTTTAATGAAACAAAACTCATAATTTTGCCAACGAAAATCAAATCAGTGCAATCAGTATTTTACATAACTGGTAGTAAAGAATGCTGAATTCGACTTATCAGGCTGAGTGCAGCAGTGGAATATCACTCTTGTAACAGAGGGCAATATTCAGCATTTCAGTATACACGCTTAGCACAATTACAGCAGTTGTGACTGCAGTTCACTATAGTATTTCACTGTATAGAAGCAGACAGATATGAGATGACGTTTACAGCAGTGTCTAATTTGGGTTAGTCGAATTTTTAATGCGAATGAGAATCTAAGGAGGAGACGGCATTCTGTTAAGCATAGGACAAAAACCGTAATCAAACCTAGCAAAGCTTCATCAGTTCAACTTGGCTTCGGGGCCCTCGGCTAATTTTACCGCTCACTGAAACATAGCGTGTAATAGCCAGTGGATGGCAAACGCTTCGTTCATTATTGCTGATTAGGGGAAAAAAAGATCAAGCAAAATATGTCAACTCATGATAACCAGTTAATGTGTTTTTAATTAATGCTTGCTTTTCTTTTCTCCAGGTTGATTCCTACCCTAAAACCTACCAGTGCGTGGATTTAATTCCTCCTCCAGCGGCTTCTTGATTAACAGTTAGCTTCCATTATGCTTTTGAGGGCACGAGAGTGACCGTGCAGGGATGCGGCTGTTAGATTAAAAGTGGAGTGGGTGAGCTTGCTGGGTCTCCTTGCATGCAGTGAAATGAGACCTAAGCCACAGATTCATTTTAGAATTTAATAAGCTAATAATCGTGATATGGCAACTAGTTTCAAGTGTCCTTGAGGGGGGGTTCAAGGCACAGTTTACAATCCCATTTAAGAGCTTGTTCTATTACCATGCTGACAAAGTCTTAGACAGGCTCAGAGAGGGAGATGAGTGCATTTTGAAGCTACTTCAAAGGTCACACAAAACACAGAGGGGTCAGCCTGAGCCAGAATGATCACATTCTTCTTGCGAGAAGACTCCCTGGAGTCCGACTGAAGGACATTTGACAGCTGCTGTATTAGCATCTTCTGGGAAAGTACTGAAAATTCAATTCAGCTGACATTTAACAGCTATAAGTTGAGCTATAATGATTTTTCTAATTACTCAATTAAGAAAAACTGCATATTATTGTGACAAATTAAACAGCCAAAGCCACCTGTAAAAACTTTTTGCTGAGCTTTTAAAAATGTGAATTTGAGCAATGTGAACTCCCCATTCTTCCTTCCCATAACTGGGCCCCATCAGTCACATGTTTCTTCTTGGAAAATAGCAGTTTCACAAATGCAAAACAAGGATGTTGCTGCCTGTGCTGCTTCTTGGCACACACACACGTCCTCAAATCCGAGCTACTTTGAGCCACGCTGTTTCATCTGGTGCTATCAGGGCTGATAAGAGCCTCTTGTCTTTCTGGGTCTGCTGCAGCTGCTGTGTGGTGAGTGGCAAGCCTCTCTGATGGCTCTCCTTTATCTTCACATCAAGCAATTTGCTGCTTCTTTCATTTTGATACTTGTGCCAGATTGAAAAGGAAAACTTTGCTAAACTTGTTTCTGAATGAGGTTAAAGCTAGGTAGTTGCATCCTCATCTACATGTAAGTTATGGACCACTCAACTTATTTAAAAAAATCATCTTTAATCCATGTGTAATCTGATTTTCTGGTCCCTCTGTATTGTAGATGTGACATTTATCATCCTTTGTAGTTTAATACCTAATACACACACACTACACACTCTTAATACATTTAGGATTAAATAAGCAATACTAAGATAAGATGGTGCTTTATAGTACTTGAAGCGTATCGTTTGAAACATTTAAAATAAGTTGTTAGATCGTCGCACAAAGGTGTTTTTACCTAAACCTTTGTTAAATTTAGTACAATACCGCAATGTCGCCCAAGTCATCATTGTCTTAAGAGCTTGAAAAAGGCGACTGGACTTCTTTAAGTTTTTTTGAAGTTGTTTCACCTCTCACAACTGAAGAAATGTCTTTGATTAAAGGTGAAATGTCTTTAAAAACCTTAAAGAAATCCAGCCGCCTTCTTTTTCAAGCTCTAAAGACTACAGTATGGCAATGTTTTTAACATGTTTTATGACTGCAGTTTTCTTCTAATCACGGGGGCAGCAGTATTTTAGTGTATGGAAAACATCTTCTGACAGTTTAAAAATCGGAAGTTAAAAAGATTGATTCAATCGGTCTGGGATTTTAGATACTGCCCACATAAAAGGTCAGAATGTCTTAACAGCCATGATAAGAAAAAACGAATCATTCTTTAACTCCTTTTAAATCTCTTTTCAAAACACACTGTATAGTGTGAGAAATAAAACCAAAAAGGGGAAATAGCGGTGAGTCTGTCATTACACTTTGCAATGTGTGAGGGATATTGCCAAATCCTTTAAGTGGGCGTTCTGTAACCCTCAACAGCAACAGGAAAGGAAATCTACTGAAGTTGTAGAAAAATATTTCTTTTAACATGGAGACATGACTCACCGAGACACAAAAATAAATTCTACATAATGTATTCTCATCTGTATGTTCTGAACATAATTGGCCGAAACGCAAAGAATAGCCAGACTTCATTTATTCTGCCTTTATTTTAAGTATGTCATATTGTGTTGTTGACAAAATACACTCCGAGTCTAATACCCTTTTCTGCTCTCCACCTCGTCTCTCTCGCTCACTCTCTCTGTCTTTCCTTCAATTGCCTTTTGTCAGAGCCACAGGCAATTACCTATTAGTAGTAAGCAGAAATTCTAAAAAGGAAAGCGGAGGGAAATGGGGGCCTTTTTGCACAGTGCTGATAAGAAACGGAGAGAAAATTCCATTTCTCTCTCATTGCAAAACGCAGTCTTCACCAAATAGTTATTTTGGACTGAGGGCAGCGATCTAACAGTTTGAGTGATAGTTACAAATTATACAAATTTTAGGTTATATTTCCTCATCTTATGGAGGTGTTACAATGACACTATGAACATAACATTTCTGCTCAACGGTTGAATGTTATTCTACACCAGAAATGCTTTGGATAGTCAAAATCTAATACGTCATTTGTGTCTTTAGCCTACAGAACAAATTGAACTGGACTCTGAGCAGTCGCCTGGTGTTGTGCGCATGCTACATGTTAAGCTGAGGAACAGTGAGTTTCTCAGCTTATTCTCAGAAACAGGCAGGTTGAGGGCAGGTTGAGTGTTACAAGACCACAGGAAGTTTCTCAATGCTGTACCACTTACTGGTTCTGGGTAGATGTCTGTATGTTGGTGAGTCATGCACACACACACATTCAGTACTGTGCAAATGTCTTATTTCTTTCCCCATCACATATTTCTTTTATATTTTTCTAGGAAAATGGCTGCAGTGATTTATTGAAACATGCATGTATAAATTGAAAAACAGTATACGGGGCAAAACCAGATCTGACAAGTGCAGTCAAAGAGCGCAACTCCCATGAAGGTCAAAGGCTATATGAAAACTTTTTATTAGATGCTAACGGCACCCTGTTTTCATATCAACACTGATGTTTGACTTTTGACCTTTGACCTTTTAGCATTACATACTAAAATGGTGTATTTTATTATCTTTACCTGTATGCTCGGAGTAGATCTGGCTGAAATCTTTTACTACTATAAACTGTAAAAACTTTAGATTTTAAGAGATATTCATCCATGTGTGATTTTTGCGAAACTACATGGCATCATCGTGATGCCGTAGGGTGTTGGGTTAAAAAAATAAATAAGTAAAAAGACTATTGTGCAGCTCTCTCCGTGCTATGATGTGTTATACTCAATACGGTGTCTTGACATTTGTTTTCAAGGTCAGCTTTGACCTCAGGGGCTAACAGTAGAGGTCAAGGTCAAATGCTTAGCCAATCTAGTTACTCATGTCCCCCAAGGCCTAGTTTATTGTTGAAGTTTAAAGACAACCTGTAAAATATTGTGGGTAATTTAAAGTTTTTTTCTGATTTTCATATTTGTTGTGACCTTGACCTTAACCTAACCTTAACCCAATTTTCACCCAAATTAAAGCTGGAACAGCTCGTGGTGTTATTGATCTCTACCATCACACAAAAAATGGAATATGAGAGCTTTCTGTTGTTAATTCAGTTTAGTTTGACTTAGTTATTTATTAGTTTCATTGTTAGTTTCTTTTTAGTTGTTATTGTATGGAGGGGTGTTACAATAAAAGCTGTGTACACAGTTTCAGTAAATACACCAATGAAAGCCTCAACAGGCAAGTTGTAATAAATTTTTTACCAAAATGATGAATATTGCATGAATTATTTCCTCTGTATTTTTTGTTTTTTAGTCTTTAGTCATTTGAGTTATTTTCCTTTTTTTAAAGTCTACTTTTCATTTTTATTTCAGTTAACAAAAATAGGCTTGATGACCATTTTTCTTTTTAAAACAGCTTGAACGCATGTAGGCATGCTTTCTTGTAATTTAAGTAGTCTTCAGGAATAGGTCTCCAGGCATTTTGAGGGAAATTCAAAACTCTTCTTCAAACCTTGTCTGCCTGTTGTTTCATCCTCTGCAAGGATGATCCAACACTGCTTCAGGAATATTGAGGTTCAGGTTCTGGGGAGGTCAGTCCATGACTGATAGTATTCCACTGTGTCTTTTTTCTATACAGGCGTGCTTTTACTGCATTGGCAGTGTGTCTGTCATCACTGTCAAGCTAAAAAATGAAAACACTGCCACTCAGATGTTTTCCAGATGGTATTACATGGTGGAACAAACTTTGACAGTACTATTCTGTGTTCATAGTTCCATCCGTTTTGACAAGATTCACAACCTCTCTGGTGGAAAACAGCCCCAAACCGTGACAGAACCTCCAGTGTGTTTTACAGATGACTGTAGATGACTGATGTACCTCTCTCCTGAACACCTCTGTACATACTGACAACAATTTGAACCAAAAATTTCACGTTTGAATGCCACACTATTTTCAGTCATTTTCAGTTTGTGTCAGCTTTTTCTACCCATCCCTTTCTTAAGAGTGGCTGTCAAGAAGCCATTCTTTGCTTTGAGATCAATTCTGATGTGGCTTAAACAACAAGAGATGAATCCACAGAACTAAAAATTGATTAAAAAGCAGCCAATGTCCAGAGAATAAACCGGAAAACTGCTGTTCTAGACCACTTTAAAAAATTATAAGAAAGTATGGCTTCAGTGAAGCAAAACCAAAAGAAATGAGAGGTGATTCAAGGTTTTTGCACAGTACTTCACATCAGTGTGAAATGTAGTTCTGATGAAGACATTAATAAGGGAATCAACAATAAATAATCTGGCATAATTTTAGATAATTCCCAAGAGGTTTCCTTACTATTGAGTTGCTTGCAGTGTTTAATGAATTTAAAACTCTACTCTCACATTTTTATGATTCTGCTCCCTCGTAATGCTGTTTATCAGTTGCAAACTTTCATTGCCACCTGGTATTTTATTTTATAATATAAAGTGACACCTGTCCAAAATTGAAATGTCCAGAAATATATGTTTAAATTTTAGCAAACATTTTTAACAATGCACTGAACACAATTCTAGTAACAAAATCCCTATTCTCATGTGAAATATTGTTTTGAATGTTTTTATTGTACATACACTGGTTTTAATGCATTAAAATATGCAAAACACATGATTGTGTGAATAATTTGCACAAAGTTTAAAACTACATGTCTATATGTTGGTGTTCATTATACAATTAAATGTTCTTTTAATACCACTAAAAAACTCGATTCCATTGTTTTCTGTTACTTTAGTAATCAGTTAGTATTTGCTTTAGTACTCTAAACTATTTGTCTTTTCTTCCACACAGTACCTTACAGTTGCAGAGATACTGATATAGGCTGTGATGGCATGTCTGGGTGGTGCTTTGTAAACCAGAACAAAGATTTCTGTGAATTTTAAACTTCTGTGTAATGGTGAGTTCCCTAACTGATTCTCGAACTAAAGAGCAAGGTTGACTTTATATAAAAAGTGCAGTATGTTTGAGAAATGCTGCCAGAACTTTACCAGCCAGTTCTCATTTTGCTATAGTCACACTACGGACCGTGACATAGGAAAATTATTTGTCTCCACAACTGCTTGCCATCAATCTCAGACAGAAAAAAAAGAATCATTGTAATGGCTGGATAACAACTGATTTTTTTGTTTTCTTGGTCATAGGAGTGTTGCTGTCATACTTTGACTCTAGCCATTTTGTTTACGTCAGACCAGTCAGCAACCACCTAGCAAACACAAGTCGTGTGAGAAAAATATGACTGGTTTTGACTGGTGGTTGGAAGATGCTGCCAGTTCTTGTGAAACTGATTGCTAAAACCTTACGAACGCAGGTCTAGCGATTGGTCAATGACTCCTCGGTAACCACCGGCCACTAAAAAACAAAGTGTCTTTGAGCTGCTGGAGTTTGTTGGGGGTTGCACCTGGTGACAGCCAGCAACTATTCACCAATGCGTATTTTTCCCTGGTGACCAGAGGTTGCCAGCAGGTTATCAACAGTCTCTAGGCCTATGTGACTGAGGTATTATTGTTCTTATTGCAATCTCAAAAAAGTCCAGTTACACTGTAACAGGTGATACATTTTAATATATTTTATATTTTTTATTAAATATTTCACTCAAAATTTAGAAAGAGTTTCATCCCTTTTATTTAACAGTGTAACAATGGAAACTTGATAGCACCTGTGGATGTCTCTGTTTTGTTTTTCAGCCAGCAGAGCTTTAAATGTTACTTCCCCGGTGAACCCAAGATGCCACGAGTGTTGGCTTTTATTTATGTGCTTAGATTTTTATTTAATTTTTATTTATTTATTTGAGTTGTCATGTGTCAGTGCTCAGTTTTTTTCTGTGCTCCACAAACGCAGACAGCACAGCAAATCTTTTTTTCTTTTTTTTTGCTAGAGATCAGGGAGGCAGGAGATGCACAGTGTGTATACTGAAATATTATGCGTTATGGAGATCACTTCCAGACCCTTGAAACACCATTGTCACCACCACCACTGTCAATTCCTCCCTCCCACAATGCACCTTGTCACTCAAATATTGTTTTGACAGAGCATGAAAGTTGGTAATTTACCAATAATGCATTTCATTTTGGCTGCCTAACAGGTTTTATCATCATGATATCCAAATGGATGTCAGTGATTGTCATGCTGGTGACATTTGTGAACGGAGCAAGAAATGGTGAGTGTAGGTGTCGGAGGAAGATGGAAATACCAATTACAATGACAATTCTTACTATCATTTTGTGTCCTTTGCCTTGGAGATTTTACCAAGTAAAAGACTAAACATCTAGAAAAAACATCTTAACAATCTTCACATTACATCTTTGTTTTTGTTTTTTTGTAATTTTTAGAGGATGGCATACAGCCCTGTGCAAAGGTCCACACATCCAGCTCAGTGGTACCTTTGGGATCCCCTGTGACAGCCACATGTGTCATCAGAGAGGACTGCCCTTTGGTCACTGGACAAGCTGTTCATATAGAGTGGCGCCTTGATGATAGGCTTATTCCCAGCAGTCCAGAAGCCAGTGAGAGCAGCAGGGTTTCCAGAGCTGTTATATCAAGCTTCAATCACACCCGAGCAATCCTCACCTGCTGTATCCAAGCCTCTCCTCCTCAAGTAGTCGCAGGCGTGGAGATCCGAGCTGGATGTGAGAAGCATTTGCGATTCTTTTGTACATGGATCAAATTAAATTCCATTTAAAAATGACTTTGTTTTTCTTTTTACCTTTAGATCCACCAGAAGCACCACAAAACCTCACCTGTCAGACAAACCTCACCAACCCCATCACAATCACCTGTAGCTGGGACCCTGGGCAGAGGGAAACCCACCTGCCCACACAGTATTCCCTCCATACTGAAATGTGGTAAAAAATATGTAACAAATGGAATACAAATGCAAATATACAAAATATAGATTACAGTGAAAGACTGGTCAAGCAGTAAATATCATACTGGTATCAGACGTGTTATCTAGGCTTTGTCTTCAAGGCTGAACGACTATATTTCTTAAAATGTAATTTCATCATTTCAGGGCTGAAAATGAAAACTATTCTTATAAACTGCCACAAGGAGTCCATCACTATACCATCCCTCGTTTTGAATTTGTGCTGTTTTATGACATGAAGATATATGTGAAAGCTGTGAATGAACTTGGAGAGACAACCTCAGCACCACTTGTTTTAGAACCTGTTAGTTCGGGTAAGGAAAATATTTGGGGTTTTCTTTTCTTTTAGCATTCTTTAAGCTCTGTTTGTATTATAAGTACTATATTTCATAGACAATACTAAATTGTACTTAAAATCGGTGCTTTTGTTTTTGTCACTATTTCAGCTAAGTTTGACCCACCCAGTATTCAAGTGATTTCTGAAAGGTATGGCTGCCTGAGGCTGAACTGGAATTTGTCCCCAGACCAGGCCTGGCTCCAGTCTTGCGGGTTATTAAACCTGGAATACCGATTTAAGTCTGTTGACAGCACACAGTGGAATGACCCAGTGAGTGCAAATCAACCCTTTGTTGATATCAACTGAAAATGTATCTTCCCAAACATTTGATCCAGTGGCTATAGACATCCAAATGCTGATATTCCTTCCCTGAAGTTCACATTGGATATGCAAGAACTTATGTTTGTACATTCTGTGTCCCTGAAAAATATGCCAGGTCTTGGTTCAAAATGCTAAAACTCCTGTGGACATGTGTCACCTGCTGCATTGGACTCGGTATTTTGCACAGATCAGAGTCAGATACCAGCAGAGCCCCTGGAGTGAATGGAGCAGCAGCCAGTCTGGTGTCACCTTGGAGAGTGGTAAGATCAATTCAGACTGACACCATCAGTCAGTCAACCATTTCCCAATCTATTGCCTTTTCTTCCATTTCCTGGTCTTTTCAATATATGCTAATGTCATCTTCTGCATCTGCCATTACTTTTTTCTACAGCGCAGGTTGTATTGAGCTTTGTTGCATTGAATCCATAAACCTGTCTTGGATGAAAACGTTTTTATTTTCAAAGAGTAAAAGGAGATGTGCAGGCTTTTGACATGCAACATGCTGACAGGTGACTCTTTCTTTTTAGCTCCCACTGGACGCCTAGATTCGTGGATGGAGATATCTGAGGATCCCCTGCTAAAACAACTCAACATAAGCTTGTTTTGGAAGGTACACACATCACACACGTTGCTTGACACCTGTCACAAATTGATGCATTTTGTCTTCTAGCTCTGGTGGAGCATGAGAGGTCGTCTTTTAAAATATCTCCTCACATTTTTTCCTTCTGCTTCAGCCATCAAAAGGATTTCGTGCCAATGGCCAAAATGTGTCATATATCGTCTTGGTGCAAAGGAGAGTGGTGTGCTCTACAAGGGAGAACTACTGTACTTTCAGTCTTTCTAGGAGCATTAAGAAAGTGTATGTAAAGGCTGTAAATGCAGCAGGGAAATCTTCTCCCACTGTAGTACAGATTTACAAACATAAAGGTAACTCACTCACAAAACAAATGAATGCATCATATCATGTGACATGTAGAATATGATATGCATCTTTTTCTGTCTGTAGCTCATCCTGTAGTATTAGATGCCACAGCAGTCCCATATGGAAACAATTCATTTCTTGTTCAGTGGAGAAGCATGGATTCCTCAGGACTCAGCGATTATGTGGTGAAATGGAGACCTTTGTTAAAATCAGGCCTCTCCCACATCCAGTTTGACATTGCTGGCCAAAACCAGTCCAGCATTGTTATAACAGGTATGTTTTACAATATTTGTCTTCCGCTTTCCTAATCGGATGATTATCCTCTACAACAAGAATTCGAACAATCACTCTTGTGTAAGATCTTCCTTTTCCTGTGCTTAACCTGCCTCTACACACTGTTGGACTCCTGTGGGCAATGATCCACCCTAACCTCTTCTCACTCATCAACAGGCAGCTTTGAGCCCTACAAGCCCTATGGGATCTCTGTATATCCAAGGTTTACGGATGGGATAGGCCCTCCTAAGACATTTAATGCCTACTTGAGAGAGAAGGGTAAGTCACCCAAGACACAAAGAGTCTCACACAAGCCAGCAGAGGTGTGAGCCAGACTCCCTCAACTTTGAAGTAGTCAGAAGAGCGTTGACTTACAGAATATATATTTTGTAATCTTTCACAGAACAGCTGATACATGATGAAATAATGCCCTCTTGTGGAAAGAAATGAATAACCTATTGGAGTAAAGACCTGAGCTGTCTAATATAATGTCTAATGGTTAAAAACTCTTTCTAGTTCTACTAATCACTTGTGATGTTGTTCTTTTTAAAGCCCCATCCATGGTTCCAAAATTACATATTCAAAAGACCTGGAATTCAGATATTAAGATTACCTGGGATGAAATACCATTAGACCAACGAAATGGAAAGATCCAAGACTACACAGTCTTCTACTGGAATCAGAAGGGACCCGTTAACGGTAGGTTAAATACCTTATCTCTGCTATGTTGTATAGGGTATTTTAAGTACTTGATCCCCTCTAATGTTTAACTGTTCTTCAGTTGTGAACGTAGATACAGAAAAAAGAAGTGTGATCCTTAAAGACCCCAGTGTGCATGGAGCTGTCTTGATGGTTAGCACATTTGGTGGGAGCTTGAATGGGTCAGCAGTTCATTTTGAATTTCAGCCCTTTGGTTAGTACGATCATTTTTTCTTTGGAGAAAGTCAACACAAACAGAATATGATCAGACGTGACATTACGTGTCTTTTCTTTTCTCAGATGAGGTCGCTAGTGCGATGATTGTAATCGGATCAGTTTTTGGACTTTCATTGCTGATTATTTTCATAGTCCTAACTTGTTTCTCCAAACATGAAAGGTAAGCTCATGCTCATACTGTTTAAGCTGGGAAGCTGTAATGCTGTTTATTCTTAACACACTACCCTAATTCTTTTTTTCTTTAACTTCAAGGTTTAAGGGGATTTTTTGGCCAGTTGTTCCAGACCCAGCTAACAGCTTTGTCCTAAGACTGACATCAGAATCAACACAGGTGTGAAAGCGGACGTCCGTTAGAGGACAACAGAAATGTTTTTATACATTTATACGTTCCTTATTACTAATGTTTTTGATTAAAGCTGCAAAAATCTGCAATATGTAGAATGAAGAGGTTGAACCCTACAGGGAATGACTGTGAAATTCTGCAGAAACAGTTTAGCTTCTTCCTTCTCATTATTTGGTTTAATGCCCTGTTAATTTGTTGTTTTAGCTTACAGTGCTTTTCAATGGAATTAAGACAAATTTAACAAATACCCGCTAAACACAGAGGTTCATTTAACAGAGAAAGAGGCTGTTTAAGGTCTCCATCAGGATCTGGTGAAAACTAACAGGAGACTTAATTTAAAGCATTCCAACTGATATTAATTTCTAATGTTGGATATTTAAAGCTTGTTTTGCTGCATGAGTGAAAAAAAGACATGACATGGTGTAAAGCCAAGAAATTGATACTATTGTTGTCTCACTTATTTTTCACTTGCAGTATACCCATCCTTCATGTGACAGCGAGGATCCGATATATTTGTCCCACCTCAGCTTTCCGGACATCCCCATGAAACTAAGCAAAGAGGAGGATGATCTTTGGATAAACAGTTCAGAAGAGACCAGTGACCTTGGAGAGTCTATTTGTGGTTCGCCCTTCATCACCGAATTCTCTGGCTCAAACAGTGACTCTGTTCCTTATGCTACTGTGGTGTTCTCTGGTTTTTGTAACAGCCCACCACCCAAAGAGCCTCATGTCTACCTGCGTTCTGAATCTACACAGCCCCTCTTAGAGGCAGAGGAACCTTTCACTCCGAAGTGTTACCAGAATCTAGCACTAGGTGGAATGACAGAGGAGCAGCATTTTTTTGGGCCAAGCCATGATTGTGTACCTGAAGAAGTGGCAGACCCAGAGAGTCTTTGGGATGACTTTCCTTTTCTACGAGCATTAGCCATGAATGATACTGAAAATGACTAAAGCACCATTGGCAATTACAAGTAGAACTGCTTTGTTGGAGGCTTACATAGATCTAAGTATGTGCAATGAATTTAATGTGATAACGTACACAGCTGTAAATAACATGGCTACTAGCTAGAATTTTTTTAAGCTGATAGAAATCATGTTGATATTTACTGATTATCATTGCAAAGTTTTTGTATACTTTGTAAAACTTCTGCAGCAAATGAAGTTTCTTCTTGTTTTTTGTTTTTTACTTTAACCTCCTAGGACCTGATATCCACTTATGATGACATTATACTGCTACTGTTCTATCAAAATTTTAAACGAATATCCTCATGTGGCTCTTATTTTTCTTAAAAACAAAAATAAGGGGGAAAAAATTCTTTGTTTTTACATTCATCGGGCCCCAATATGCCCAAATATCAAAGACAAACTAAAAATGCATGGCGTGGAAGAGTTTGGGCCTTAGGAGGTTAAACTATATTGTTGAGATTATATTTTTGTGGATTACATGTGAATTCTCTGATTGAATGTTTTACACCTTAAAGGTGTTTTCAATAAAATTATAAGTACTTTTTAAATATTTTAATGCTAAATATAGATACTATTTAAAACAGCACACTAATCTGAGATTAGGAGGACAAATTTGCTGGAAAACTCCTCAGAAATGTCACATAAACTGATTTATAGATCCATTTATAAAAGCTGTATAAAGGATAATTAGTAACAGTAATCATCTGTAACAGACAACTTAACAGAGAACCAATTTTAAACCGGTACGTTCTTTCTAGCAGTAATTTGTTGCAAAACATATAATTTGTTTGACTTTAGTTTTGTTTAGTTAAATATATGAAAATTGTCAAAGAGAACAGTTTGGCAGGCATAAAATAATATTTTTGCACCAACATGATGATGCTCAAAGAATTACTGGATGAAAACTTGGCATATCAGTGTCACCTTTAAAAGAAATCAGAAGACACTTGACTAGTGGAGGACAAAAAGAAGAAGGGTCAGGCCTAAAAACTATCTACAGCAGACAACCAGCATCTGAAAGTCATGTTCTTAAGAAATAGGGGAGGGGGGGACTCACAAAGACTGGACATATTTCTCGAGTCTCTCTGGGATATAGGGAGAAAAAGGGAGAAAAGTTACATTACAAAAGTAATGTTAAGTTGAATTATACAAGAACTGGACTGAAAAATCAGTGGAAATTGATCTTGTAAAGCGGTGAATCCAAATGTAAAAATTTCAGGTTCAAAGAATCTTTAATAGGAGGTCAGAATAGAGAAAATTGAAGCTGTGTCCAGGTTCAGAGGTGCATTTCTTGTACGAATTAGTGGCAGAAATGTACCATCAGATTTTGATCCACCGCACGATTCTGGAAAGTGTCTAATTAGCAAAGCTTCATTTTTCAGTATGACAGTGATCCCAAACACACTGGAAAATGCAATAAAAAGCATACCTGCATAGAAATTAAACACAAAATGGATCATCATGCGTCCTGGATTGATCTCTCCAGAGTCCACATCTCAACATTATTGAATCAGTGTGGGATCATCTTGACAGAGAATGAAAAAAAAGGCAGTCAACATCCAGAGAACATCTGAATATCCTTCTGGAAGCCAGGAAAGTTATTCCTGAAGAATACTTCAAACTACAAGAAAGCCCAAAAGAGTCCTGGTTATGTTGAAGAATGTGGTCATACCAAATAATTTAGCATTGTACAAACTCTGTTTTTGTCTTATATATAGTATTTCCCCGTTTCAATACACCAATTTCCCCTTTTCCCAGCAAAGAAACGGGTAGTATTTTAGGAGGTTTGCACAGCATTATATGTCAGCAGTTATAAATTGACAGTTTATTACCATCAGTGCTCTTTTTACTGCTTTTTATTTAAAAGTAACAGTAATAATTTTGGGAGGGGGCACTTCTCATTAACTGTGACTGCTTCAATTATTAAACCAAACAATTGTCACTGAAAATAATAATAATAATGAAATGTAACGATGAAAGATTCCAAAAGTCGTTTTACGCTCGTTTTTATCGACGTGCTCTGGGATTGTTATTTTAGCCTAGTACAGCATCTCGCAATCGCTACTCGGCTAGTTTAGTCTAACCAAAATGGCGATCCTCATGTAGGGGTCGAGTGTGATTATTGGACGAATTTTTCAGCAGTTTTAGACAGTTTATTCTCCGTCCTTGTTATCTATACTGTGAGCCATGTTCACAAACATAGGCCTGAGGGCAGTTCTCAAGGTCCAAGCTAGTGTTTTGCGGGAAAGCTCGGCAGCTCTCTGTTGTGCTGCATCAGTCAAACCGTGGACGAACAGGTCGAGTTTACTGTCAGGACCAAAAGTGAGAAGTGGTAAGTGTGAGGAAGACAAAACTTGCTTGTGGGTAAATATCAGTCAAAACATGTGTTTCTGTGAGCAGTTCGTAATTTCGCTAGGTCTTCTTGGGAAGTAACTAACACGAACGGCAGGCGGCACTGTTGGCGGAGCTACATGTTACCCTGATAAGCGGAAAGACCGCATACTTGACGTCTGAAACGATTTTCACCATAACGTACTCCAAAGTGTAGTAATCGGCTTTGCACAGCCTCCCTACGCAATTCATTTTTCTATTACACAGTTCTCTCCACACCACCAAGACAGTGTGAAGTTACTGGCAGGTGTTTCGTCAGCTGCTCAGCTACTTGTCATTGAAAACAGTCTTTCACAAAAACCCATATGTTCATATTTCTTTTGTCGAGTCTATGAAAAATGCCAAGTGTGGGATTTCTCATAGATTCTTACAGATTTGTAGAGTTTCAAATGTGTACAACTATGTGTGGCTGATTTTTTTTTCTCAGGTAGGAGATGATGCAACACGCAAAACCAAGCAGTGTAAACACAGGGCAGTTTCACAGTCTGAATTGGCTGTTGTTTTAAGTCCTGCTTCCTTTGTTGCAGATTTGCTCATTTTCCCTTCCAAAAACTTTCTGTGCATACGACAGTCTAAAAATATTAAAGTGCGCAAGGATCTCCTGGTGTGCACAAACCGGGTTACATCTTCATGTGGAGTCTTGATTCTCTTTTCATACTTTTCACACAGTCTCAGCTCCCACACAGATCAATAAATACATGCTGTGTGGAAAACTGGGACATCTGAGTTTTGCTTTTTTGGGGGGTTGATTTGTGTGTAATTTCTAAGTAGACAGGATAGCTTGTCAACTCTCAGATAGAGGGACTTTGAAGAGCCTCTCACAGCTCTTTTCACACACCTCTGTGTGCAAAACTGATGCCTGCTAATCAGAGGGTTGTTGCACACACAGGGTGTGAAACAAACAAAAAGAATATCAGAAATATTTTTGGCACGAAGCCTCTAAAAGAGGACTAGGTAACAGTGTAGTGCTTTAGCTACTTGAAACTTTTCTCCCCTAAATGTTTTTGTGGTTATCTCCCCTTCTGCACTTCTTTGCTGCTTAATCTGATGCAATATCTCGCTTTCTTATCATAATATCTGGAGCATCTACAGAAGCTTTTCTTTCATTTTCCCCCTCAAGTCTACTAGAATATGACAGCTTTTTTTTCTTTCTTTTTTTTTTCTCACTGTTGCAGCCTATGCACTGACAGTCACAGGTTCGCCAGCCCTTCAGTGACAGGCATGAATAAGAGCTGTTTGGCTTGCAGGCCGCTTCTCTCTACAGTGCTATGACTAATACAGCAAATGAATACTTTTTAACCCAAGGTTTGTACTGCAGTCTAACAGAATTGAAATCACCAGCAGTGTCTCAAGAAAAATGTATGCTACCTTGAAATGTTTTACTTTGGTTTCTGCTGTTGATAACTTTAAAATAAGGTACAGAGAATTTCTATTAAACTATTCTCAACAGCAAATATTACTGCCAGGTGAAAACTCGGTGAAAAGCTCTTTCCTGATGAGTTTCCTTCAGTGGATTGCAATATTAGTTGCACACGTTGGTGGATTTTTGAAGGAGGGCTGAACTGTCGCATAACATTAGAGAGGAAGTGACATCATTTGCTGTTTTGATATTGAAAACCACTGCTCTTATCGCCATCTGATATGTACATAGTTGCGTTTTAGGGTGAGTGTTTGACAACCGTTTTAAAAAGATTATCTTAGTTTTACTCTACAAGTTTCTCCATCAGTCACGCAAATTAAGCTTCATGAGTCGTTTCATCATCCTGTAGATTTCATTTATGTATTTTATTTTTTTTGTTACAATAAATCATTGATTTTCTGACAACTCAGCTTGCAGCAGAAATGTTTTTATTATGTATTATCCCAGAGAGGTGTTTCTCTACAAATAGGATAGTAAAGTTATCCCAGAACTTAGGGGTCTGCTTATGCTATCCTATTACCTGCTGTGTTTTTGAATCATTTCCATTCATGCTTATAGGAAGGAAGATCTTGGAGTATTTCGGGATAATATTTAGAGGGACAATACTCCTCATAATTTAAAATAGCTTATTCACAAATAAATGTTAGAGATTATAGGTAACTTTCAGGCTTTGTTGTTTTTCATACAGCTCTCTTACGCTCTTGCTGTGTCTTTGGGCTTATTTGCCACGCTCATATTTCAGATCATCAAACAAACTTCAATAGAAGATGAGAACCCAAGTAAATAGAAAAGGCTTTTTTTTTTTTTTTTTAGTGATTTCATTTATTAAGAGAAAAAAAGTTACCCAAACCCACCTCAACCTATGTGGAAAATTAATTCATCTAAATCTAAGAACACTGTGTTACCTTTGGCAGTCATTCATTTGCAATAAATGGCAATGAGTCCTTCACATCATTGTGGAGGAATTTTTGGCTCACTCTTTGTGGAATTCTTTTAGTCACAATGACATGAAAGGTCATGTCAAAGCATTTCTATCAGATTTAAGTCTGGACTTTGAATAAACCACTCCAAAACTGTCATTGTATTTTTAATTTTCTGTTGTTTGCTTTGTTTTGGGTTTTTTTTTTGTTTTGTTTTGTTTTTTGTCTTTTCTGTTGTTGTTTTAAAGCCATTCAGAGGACCTGCTGGCTTGTTTTTGATCATTGTCCTGTTGCATAAGCCAAGTGCGCTTGAGCTTCAGGGTACAAAACGATTGCTGGACATTCTCTTACGGGATTTTCTGGTAGAGCGCAGAATTCATAGTTCTGTCGATTACAGTAAATCATCCACCTCGAGAAGGAGCAACAGGAATCAAACTTGACTATTTTTATGATGTGCTTATGATGCTGACCCCAAAGGTTTTTGAGCGATCAGCAAGATTAGCAGCAGTGGTTTCTGCCCCGGAACTTCCCCATAGATGCGATTGTTTTGAGTGTCTTCCTTATTTTGGAATCATGAATACTGACCTCAGCTGAGGAAATTGAGGCCTTTTTTAATAAAATAAATCATTAGCAAAGCAACGATTCCCTTGTTCCCTTCTACTTTCAAAATGAGTTTAATCTCCTAAGCAGTGGCTCTGTAGTGTAATGTTTTACACATTTGCCAGACAAGTGAACAATCCCCAATTAGATCCCTGGAGGGAGGCACAAATCCTTTCGGGGTTACATCATGAGAGAATCCGGCCAAACCAAACACGTGGAGCTACCTGCTGTGGTGATCTCTTGTGAATAACAACTGAAAGTAACATTTTGAATCTACTAAACGTGAATGTTTGCAGTGATGCATCTGATTTCTCTGTTGCAGGAAGCTTTGCTGTTCCACAGCCAGTGAGACACTATGCCCGGGCTGCAAAGAAGAAGAAGAAGACAGGTATTTAAGAGGAACTCTCATCACCATAGTGTGCGCATGTGAGCATTTTTAAATGTGTACATAAGTTAAAGAAAGAAAAATCCAAAAAGTATTTTTCCTCCAGGACCTGAGAGCCAACTCGACGATCTTCCTCCAACAATGCTGAAGATGGATTATGCGGCTGTTCCCCTTGCTCAAACGTAAACATATACAAAATGATTAAAATTCAGACTTTCTATTAATTATTTTATAAAAGTGGACGCACATAGTGATTGGTCTACTCTTCTAACACTATTGTATTTTCTGCTAACAGAACTGATGATCTTGTCAAAAGGCTTCTTTCACTGGAGTTGGCTAATCATGTAAGTTTGTCTTTTTTATGTACATTGTTTGGCCCTCTTGTGGGAAAGCAGAGGCATAAACAAGTAGTTCAGCGTTAATAACTAATAATAATCTCATCTTCAGAAGGAAAAGCTACAGCTAAAACAAGAACAGCTAATTGCAAAGGTCCAGAGAGATGAGAGTGACCGAAGCTCAGAGGAAGTACAAGGTGAGGTGCTATATTTTTCATTATGTTGCACATAGTTTCTTCACTGGAAAAAAACACGGGATACAACTTTTATTTATTATGCGATGTTGAAATTCTCCTGTTCTTTCTCTCCTCAGTGGCTATATTGACTGCTAGAATCCGAAACTACCAGGAACATTTGCAAAAACATCATAAGGTGAGAATAAAATGCATTTAAATTAATCAGCAGGTTGACAGATTAAAATGACGTAACACATGTAGAGCACTTGACTCTCACCACTGGAAGTTTCATGTATGAATACGTCTCTCCACATTTCCTCTCTGCTTTTGTGAGGCCTGCATGTGCTACAGGATATCCTGTGTACTCCCCCACATTAAATAAAAAGATGCGTAGCATGGCCAAGGTCGGAAGTTTCCGTGTTACATCATAGCCTAAACAATTTTATTAAAATTAACAACTGTTTTTATGTGGCATGACGAAGCAGCTGTTCCTCAGTAGGTGTCCTGATTTCTAGCGCATGTTGCTCTGTTTGTATTTACTTTCGATATTCTGTGTTGTTTGATGCTAGGATAAAGCAAACAAGAGGCGAATGCTTATGGCCATTGACCGAAGGAAAAAGATTTTGAAACACCTTCGGTTGATTCGCTACGATGCCTTTGAGAAAGTGTGTGAGCAGCTGGGCATCACATACACCTTCCCCCCAGAGTACTACAGACGGGCCACCCGTCGCTGGATGGCCAAGAAAGAATTCTGCATTAAGGTAGCAAATAAATGAAGCTGTTATTTATTAAGTCTACATCATCTCTGCACATTAATGTATACTCATATCTGTTGGGAAAAACTTAAAACTTTCCATTACACACAAGTGTAATGGAAGTGTAGCATATAGAGCATCTAGGGCATTACTCAAGCCTTCTGGAAACTCTTCTCTATACATTAAAGGTGTTATTTTATGCCCCCCACTAACACTTGGTCATATGTGTTTGTGTGTCTGTGTGTGTCATCTCAGGTCTTCAAAGCAGTGCAAAAGCAAAAAGCAGAGCAGAGGCTGGAGATAAAGCAGAGTTCAGGCTCCACAGACACGGAGTCAGCAAAGACAAATGCAGCTGAGATCTAATGAGACAAAAGCCACAATCTGTACACCTTCAGATGTAGTGATGTATCATGTAGATAAATAAATGGTTTTCCCATGCTGCCGTCACACGATTTTACTTTCTATTGTTGTCATTCTGATACCAGAACTGTCTGGAGATGTCAAAGATTAATAAGAATAAAATATCTGAGAAAGCTGGGTTGGAATAATCCTCCAAATTGTAATTGAACTAAAGCATGACTTCTAGATGTATTAATTTAAGATCTCATTTTAGAAAACCAGGAAGCCAGAAACTCAAGTATAGTATTAATATGCTAATTAGAAATAAACCTACACTGCAAATTCTCCATTTTATCTGAGAGGATACTCTGTGTTAAACCACATGGCAAAAAACTAGCGCTAAAATATTATCACTAGATCGACTCTGTGCGTTATTATGGCTTCATATCAGCACCGGTGTGTGTTTTGTTTTTGTTTTTATGTTTTGTTAATCAGCTGTCAGTGGCAGTTCACCTCATTTGTACCAAGTTGAGGCATATCAGATACGGACTTCTTCCTGGAAGAGTACTGTTGAAGCAGTATTCAGGCTTTGTGGAAACATGAGATTGACTTCATCCAACTATGTTTAGGGTCATAAAATGCTTGTTGGTAGAATGCAGTATCATTTATCTTTTTGAGTGTTGTTTAAATGTACAGTAAGTTAATTCAAGTTAGAGAGAAATTGTTAAAAAAATCTAATTAAGAATTCCTGACATTCCTGGCATAGTGTTATATTGGTAAAAATTGGTGAGGTTGCTAAAGCATCGGATTTAAATGTACAACATCACGAGGCAAGGTTAATTTAATTCTCATATAGGGTATAACAAGACCGGCATTTTCATTAAAAGCTATTTTTACATTATACATTAATATGAAAAGAAGGCTTTAGTTTCGTATAGTTTTGTGCTTATTCAAATCCTGAGTAAATCCATCCCTTCTTTTGCATACTGCACTAGTGATATAGTGTTCTAATAGATTAAAACCTCATGACAAGAACGTGTTGCATTTGTGGGTGTCATATGAAAGTGTGACCTTAACAATTCTAACTGCATGGCTTCCCTGAAGTCTACTGATCTGTCATGAGATCAGAAAAACTTTAAACTCTCAGTCACATACATGTGCTTGTGACCTTGTGATTTGAGGTTGTACCCTTTATCAGACTAAAAAAAAAAGCAATTCCTGTTAACGGACTGATTTTTTTGCCAGTGAATCGCCACAGATCTTTGTCGTCCCCAGAAAGTGCAGGCTGTTGCCAAACCAGCGTTTCACAGCTCAAGCTCGTCACAATTTCCTGTGTGGTGTGCAACTTGTCATTTTGAGCAGGTGGAGCTCATACTCTCACACTCTTCTGGTAAGTGACACCATTTTTTCCTTTCGCAGCAGATAAACTTAAAGGTTAAATATTCTTAAATTAAACATAAAAATTATATTTGCAATTCGTGCGCATGTTATAGTTAAAAGTTGGCCTTTCCGTTATGGCTGCCTTGATACAAGATAACATGGGCTTTCATTTGTTCTTTGGATTAAAAACCACATACATGACTATCTTTCATACGATATTGTGAAAATAGTCCATGTTACACTAACGTATTCCTGCAACAATGTTTTATTTAGAAATATATATTTTACAGGGAAAGTCCAAAAAGTATTTTTTAAATCATAATTTGATTTACCTCAAATGACAGAGTAAACTGTTGCATGCTGTGTTGAGGAGGGTTTTCTGTAAATATGTGATGTTAATTAGTGTGCAAATATCTAATGCTCTCTAATATGTTTTTAACTAGGTACTTAAACCACAGAGCAAATAAATAGACCAAGTATCCAAATGTCAAACCCAGTGGTCACCCATCAACCAGGTGCTGGCGGCTATGGGACTAATGTTCAAACAGGAGAGTGGAGCACAGGCTTGTGTGCCTGCTGCAGTGACTGTTTGGTCTGTAAGTACAAGGCACATCATTTGTGCATGCACACTTTGTTTTGTTCGTTTTAGACATTCATAAATGTACTCGTGTTGTTTAGGTGCCGTCGGTTGTTTTTGTCCACTGGCACTGAGCTGCTACACAGCAAATAAGTATGGTGAAAACTGCTGTTTGGGTTGCGTGCCTGGAGGCTTAACAGCCATGAGGACTCACATGAGATTAACCTATGGTATTCAGGTATGTTACCCATGCAACTCAATGCAGTTATTATAAAATCCAAACTTCAGAATACCGTACCTTATGCAATTAGTCTTTAGGTTGTAAGTATTGCACGTGTGATAGTCTGTTTCAGTCTTGCTTTTATGAAAGACACAGATTTTGCAAACATGGGAAATTTTGTGCGTTTCCCACAATTGAGAAATCTGCAACATTTCTGTAATTTATGCAATCTTTTAACCACAGGGAACAATATGCAACGACGCCTTGATGATCTTCTTCTGTGGACATTGTGAAATGTGCAGGATGGCAAGAGAAATCCGCATCAGGAATGGAGAGATTTCACAGTAACAAGAGTTTTTCATGATGCTCAGCTATTGTGGAAGTAACTTGTTTACCCATGGAGCTTTCATGCAAACCAAAAAAAGCATTTAATGAAGTATGCATTTATGTGTGTATTAAATCTTTGGCCCTAACTTGCAAGAGCAATTGTGTATTATTGTAAATAAAGTGCATTTTCAACAGGCATCACATTTTTTGAACAACTTTTTGAAATTTGATGGCTCACCTTATATCATTTATTTCTCAACGTAAGAGTTATGCAACTAAAAACGTCCAAGAAAGCTTCTAGAGAAGATTGTTGGGTATTATCGTAAATCAGTTGTGAGCAGCTGAGTAAAAGGTTGATCTTCCTTATGAATTATAATATCGTTATAATTGTCATATAAGTCGAATTGTACTGGTTAGAATGCTTAGACTTGCCATGAAACCACTGGTTTGCATTATATTATATATAATTATATAATATGTATGACTACATGGTGAAAAATGGTCCATCTATCTCTAATCAGTGAGCTCCTAATTTACAACGCGGTTGTACCTCGTCTAATCCCGCCCCTTTCTTTTACGTATTTACTACATAGGGCTCTGATTGGCTATTTATTTCGTGGCCTGGCAACCAGAAGCGGCTTTACCAAACAGACAGACCACCCACCAGCTAAAACATTCGAGCTAGCTGTTTTGTCTGGAAAGATTCAGCTGTTCAAATTCCATCATGTCTTCAAGGACTCTGCCGCTGCTTTTCATTAATCTCGGCGGGGAAATGTTGTACATCCTAGACCAGCGTCTCCGAGCTCAGAATATCCCTGCTGACAAAGCTAAGAAAGGTAGCTAGTTTAGCAGCTTTCCAGCTAGCAACACAATTGTTATCCTGTTCCAGAAAAAAATATTAATGTTAGACCGCAGTAAGTGCACATGTATGTTGTTCGTTTACTTGTTTCTGTATTGATGATGTCGGTGTCTCTGTCGAATCAGAAAGTCAAAATAAGAGATGTCTTTTCGTAGGAGAGTGTGACTGGAAGCCCTGTAAAACAATTGTGTATTGTTGCCGCTCTGTCAGTTTAAAAGATATCACTGGTTTGTTGTAAAATGATATTAGATGATGTTAAGCATTAACCACCAGCACACGTGGCAGTCTTAAAATCAGCTGTTTACTTACGTACCATTTCCCTTTGGATTGATAAAGTTTCCACAATACCTGGCTGGATAGAGGCGGACAGAAAGAGAGGTATTATTACAAGATGCAATGAGGCGCTGATGCATTAGTAGCTCTTTTGCTCTGCTTTGGCTTAGCCTGAACCCATGCCATGCGTAAATAATGAATGAATAACGGATGAGCTGACAAACAATGTCCTGCTTCATTGGTTGTAACAACCTTTCTTATGTGTGTCTGTATTCCAAAACTCCAGTTTTCAAGCTTCCAAGGTGGCGTTCGCATACATATGCTGGACAAATTACTTCACTTCATGAACCAATGTGAATTAGTCATATACCTTGAACCCCCAGTAAGTTAGCCACAAAATAATGTTACTTTCCCAAACTTGAGTGATCTAAAATGTAAGCACTTTTTAAGTAAACCCTAAAGGTTTAGTTAAGGTAAGTATTGCTCCTGCAATACTGGTAAGAAAAAAAAAGGCAAAACCTCCCCCCACCCTCCAAAAAAACATCTTTGGCTTTAGGATTTCTGATAAATAGGTCTGCTGCTTTGTTAGGGTCTTTGGGTTTCAGCTCTGGGTAAAATCGTTTTCGGCAATGTAGAGTGTAGAGCGCTAATCTGCCTGCTTCTGAGCCAATAGTATGGGAAGGGCATTTGTCTAACCTTAATTAACATTTTGTGCTTTAATTGCTTGTCTGAATAGTTATGAATGACATCATCACCACCATGTTTAACAAAAAGTTCCTGGAGGAGCTTTTTAAGCCACAGGAGCTTTATTCCAAGAAGGCCCTACGGACCGTGTTTGACAGGTTGGCCCACGCATCCATAATGAGACTCAATCAAGCTAGTATGGACAAGGTAAGACATCATGTATTCATATACAGCCTGTGTGTTTTTAATTTACTCTTGTGCTCCCAATATTTTGTTTGCATTTTTAATTACAAGCATTGACTTTCTATCCATGCACCAGTTACATTTCTTCAAAACCACACAGAGATGTTTTTATCACAGCCTTTTCATTATGCATATTGGATCTACATTAGATTTGCCTTCATGCCAATCAATATAAATCAAGTGTATAATGTAACATTTTTGTTGTGTTTAAGCATAAGGTACATTCATTTACATACTATGTCTCCCTCTACTGTTTATCACTCAACAACAGCATGCATTTATTTCTGATGCCTAAGACAATGTGTTGATGAATGTGTCCCTGTTCATAGCTCTATGACTTGATGACCATGGCTTTTAAGTATCAGGTGCTTCTCTGTCCACGACCTAAGGACATCCTCCTTGTGTCCTTCAACCACATGGATGCAATCAAAGACTTTGTGAAAGATACTCCCAGCATTCTCAGCCAGGTTGATGAGACTTACCGACAGCTGATAGAGGTACTACATGTGGGACTTTGCTGTCTTCACATTTGTTACAAGAAAATATAGTCAGAAATATTTTATATTGCTTGTGGGGATTTTTTTTTCCTGCAGTTTGCAGCAAGATGTATATGGTTTTTTAAAAAGTAGCATGCAAAGAAGCTCCCCTTGGTTAACTACATAAAGATAAATGAAGAAGATAAGAAAAGCTCATGGGGGAAAGAAAATCAAGGACATTCTTAATAAGAGTGTAATCACGTGGCATATGAACTGGTTTAACACTCTTATACTGCAGCTGGTGATGTACTGAGAGTCACTACTTCTCCTCAGGCCTTCTCCTCCAAGACAAAACTCACCTCTTGTGTTAGAAATGACCAAGCAAGCTATGAAGGCCCACTTAAGACAAAGAAAGCCATCTAAGCTAGCGATTTCAATTCTGTGTTGCCAGTACCGCCAGCATAAATAAATGTTTTCATCAGTTTAGATTTTTTTTTTAATACCAATATGTATTTTTAGATGTATACGCCTTTGTCCAGTGGTGAATTCCAGCTGATTAGACAAACTCTTCTTATCTTCTTTCAAGACATGCATATAAGGGTGAGTCATCATTTGTGACTTTTTATTATGAAGATGGTATAACTAATTTTTTCCTGCTTGTTCAGTTAATGTTTACTTTCTCTGTGTTTGTACCTTCTTCTATGGCAGGTATCTATTTTCCTCAAGGACAAAGTGCAGAATTCAAATGGCCGCTTTGTTCTTCCCACCAGTGGTCCTGTGCCCCATGGCACTCAAGTCCCTGGCTTGATAAGGTACCACAGTAAAGAGCTCTTATCCCTCAGACCCAGGCAGTCTGAAGTTTAAAGAATATTGTCAATGAGTAAGACTAAATAAGTGGCTTTGATAATATACTCTTTTCATTGAACTTTAATGTCTGCCGCTTTGTCTTGCATATTGTCTCTTTGCTATCTTACTTGGACACCGTACGGTAATCTGATTTTACGTAAGCTTATCTGTAGCTAATTGCATTACAGAGGTCTCGTTCAAGAAGTATTTGACTTCTAATTTTAGATACCGTGCATGTTTAGCTTGGATCAAAATTCTTAAGGATTTGCTGTGTGAAACATTTAAGCAGGAAATAAAGGCTCTTTATCATACTATGTACTAAATGCTTTCCTGTCTCTATTTCTCTCGTGTGTGTGTGTGCG